ACACAATTTTAGTATTTCCTATGCAATTAAATCTCCTATGTATTGTAACTTTCTATAGGCATTTAATTTCCATATGTAACCAAACGATGCCTAAGAGTAGGCGAGTAACAACGTATCAAGTACGTGCATGCATGAGCCGATGTGCGTAATCAGTACGCAACTAAGCACCACGCGTAACAGTTTCTACATGGCTACTAGAATTGCTACGGAATTTAGAATGAAAGGTATGGGTTTTACAGCTTTTAATTGGAATTACTTAAGTCGTAATAACAAAATTGACATCTTCACTTTTGGGAAATTTATGACAAAATAATTATTGCTCCACTTTCCCACATTTTTTTCCATTTCCCACGTGAATCATGTTTATTTTGATGTGAATAGTTGAATTCTCTGATGACATTTCTGGGTTGTAGTCGTAATATAATAACAAGCCTTTAGATAAATAAATTGCGCCATAAACTTGCAATTTTAAACAAATGACAATAATACTACCTCCGTTTTTTCTTATGTGCAATTTTGAGCCATATTGCGGTTCACGAAGTAAAAGATTGAAAGGTAAAGTTTAAGAAAGTATAATGGTGATTAATATATTATAGGAATATGTAATTAAGATGGAGAGAGAATATTTGGATAATTAATCAAACCACCCACTTCCACCACCAAAACCAGCCACCACCGCCGCCGCACCACTACCACCCCCACGAAACCACCACCACAACCAACCCCACCAAACCACCACCATCCTCACGTCTTTCCCTTCTTTTTCCGGCAGCCCCCTCCCTAACCAAAAAACCTAGAAATCTAACACTTCCCTCCACCACCAGCCCCGACCACCTCCAACCCAGACCCACCCCCAGACCACCCCGACAACCTCCAACCCAGACCCACCCCCAGACCACCCAAAAATCCGGCAGCTCCACCCACACAGTCACCCCACCGTAACCAACTCACCACACTAACCCTAACCGAAAAAAATCGAACAAAATCCCAAAAAAAAAACCCAGAATTTTCGAAAGTAAAAAAATTGTAGATCTACGTAGAAAATTAACAATAAAACGGAAAATTAACAATAGAAATACAATAATCAACAATAAAAATTAACAATAAAACGGAAAATTTACAATACAAAAACATACAATAAGCTTACAAAACGGAAAATTAACAATAAAAATTGTAGATCTACAATAATCAACAATAAAAACATGAAACAAATCGGAAGTGTAGATCCCATTTTGCAGCGGCGAATTTCGTTGTCGAGCTTTGAAGCTGTACACCTTGAAGGTCCTCCCATGGCGGAAGAATGTTCTGGAAACTGGAGTTTGTGGGGTTTGTTTTTCCGGTGAGAGGGTGGTGGAAGAAGTGGCTTATAATGGGAAGTAGTGTTAGTTGCTGAATTGTGATGAATTGAGTGAATGTGAGAAATTGGGGTATTTGGGAGTGAATTGGTGGGTATATCCTGACATTTTTGGAAGAGAGAGAAAGAAGAAGAAGAAGATGGAGGAGAGAGAAAGAAGAAAGAAGAAGATGAAGAGGGTGAATGGGTGGTGGGTAGATGAGTAAATGGGTGGGTAAATTTAGGTTAATGATTTTAGATTAGATAAAAAAGTTATTGTGATTAAAATAAGATAAGGGTAACATTAAGAAAATCTAAATTTTAAGTAAGGGTAAATTTGTAATTTTCAGGGTTTTTGTTTACTAAAAATAGAAAGAAAATAGAAAGTTGCACATAATAGTGAACGGACTAAAATGGCAAAAGTTGCATATAAAAAAAACGAAGGTAGTATAAATGTTCTAGCCATGCAGGCTAAAAATGGTGTTTGGCTGGCCTTGCCTGCCGTCCAACACTTACAAGCCCAGCCCAAGCCCATGATAAGTCCAGCCCAACCCATTATTGTTAGGGTTGGGTCACAAGTCGAGCCTATACCTAGTTTATTGTGATTTGGGCTTAGCCCAACCCTTTGCCCGTTTAGGTGGCCCACTTGAGCCCATGTTAGACCCGTGGGCTTGCTCGTCAAACCCAACCTATGGGAAAAGCACGACTCTACCCTAGCCTTTAGTACTTATATTTTCCCTTTTCGTAAACAGTCGACTATTTTCATTACACATTTTTTCCTTCATTCACCAATGAATCCATTATTAACCAATTTCTTATTCTCTGATCAATAATTATGTTTCTAGGATATGCCAGTTTTTATTTTAGTTTGTATCCTATTTTGTACTTGTAAAATTATTGATGACAACTAATATGAATATTTTTTTTTATCTAATAATTAAATAATAGATAAACGAAATTAATAATGTATTTTCCTTTTTCAAATGTACAAGCCCACGGTCCAACCCTCAGATCGGGCAATCGGCCCTTAGACTAGCCAATAGGCCGATCTAGCCCTCAAGACTAATGAACCTGGCCTGTGCTTGGGCCTTACTTTTCAAAATTTGAGTATGACCTAGCACAACCATTATAGGCGGTCTAGGCCCATGCAACCCTAAAGTTCGCGTCCCATGCCAGCCGAGCTAGTTAATTGGCTATCACATATTAGGTCAACAGAGACTATTTCCTTGCATTTTTCGGGTCAAACAAAAAATTTAATTTGTTTTAATTGTATGTTGCATTATGATGATGATGATGATCATTTAATCTTTAATTTTTCATCAATTTGCATGGTGTTGGACTTACATGGTTTGTTAGGAATTAGGGTGTAATTGTGTTTGATTAATGCAGAACAAGTCAATAAAAAATAAGAACGAGAAAAGCTATAAAGAAGATAAACAAAGAACACAAGGATTTACGTGGTTCGGTCAAATTAGACCTACATCCACGGGTGGTGGATTCAAGAGCTTCTTCACTATAATGGAGAAAGAACAAGAAAATAATACAAAAAGTCCTAAATCTAATGGCTCAAAAGGTATGATCTAATTGATCAACTAAAGGATCCTTTTACAACACAAGGAAACCCTAATAAAACCCCAGATTGTTCCTCAAGTATACTTAAGTATCCGTCATAGAAAAGATACTTGTATAATTTTAGGAAATATCCCATAAATTATCCTAGAAGAACCGAACTACCGAGCTATAGCTCGGTAGCTAGCTCAAGCCTGCCGCAAGTCTTCATAGGGCCGAGCTATAGCTCACTCGCTTAGAGCTATAGCTTGCATGCTCGTCGCAATTTTTCAACTTCGTCAGGTTTTCGTAAAACAGCCACAACTTTCTCGTTTCTTATCGAAATCAGGCATATGACTTACCGTTGGAAAGCTCTTGAAACAAGCTATCACCTCAACTTGAATCACTTCAAAATCACTTGTAGTTTGAGAGATATCTGCATTCAAAATCATCCCTACTAGATTTCAAATCACACTTTAAGAAATCTCCACCTTGACTTGAATTGAAATTGACCAAAACAAGATAACTCCACCTTGAACCAAGAAGTAATGCTCATAAGAAAACATAAAACCTACACCTTAAACAAAATTCCATAAGCCTACTCACATTAGGCAATCAACAAAAAAAACGATCATCTTCATAACTTGTGAACCGGTGCGTCTCCGAACACAAAACCATCACATGGCCTAGATCAAGAGTATAATGTCACAACGCCAAGCATGCTTATCAAAATTGACCAAACTCTCTTCAAACACTTCTTCATCTCAAAACCAAACCAAAAAACATAAGCAATTCTAGAATATAAAATTACATCAAGAATTTCTAAATTGCAATTGTACTTAATAAATCATAAAAGTACCAAAATTGAGATAAGAAATAGCATAACTAGATCAAAATCTAATGCATAACCAAGATTGCTACTTTACTACAAAAGAAAAAATCAAATGCAATTTATCATAGACTCCATACCAAAAATCCACACGGTTTCTCATTTCACCAAGAGATCTCAAAAGGGCACTTATCATAAAGAGATCGTAGAAACCGCAGCCCCGAAGCTCGTAACCCTAAAGTGCATAAACATAATCATCGTCGGTGTTAGCAATATTTGCGAATTTGTCCTCATTGGACATCTCCTCATTCTTCTTCTTAAATTTCCAACACTCGGCTTTGATATGACCCTTCACATGACAATAGCTACTTTATTTTGAGCAACCAAAGCATTATTTTGAGCCGAATTATTAGATTTATTAACCAATTTATTGTCAATTAAATCTCTTTGGGTTAAGGCATCCTTAACATCCTCCAAACTCAAATCATCTCTACCATACAATAAAAGTATCTCGAAAGTGCTTATATGAAGGCGGTAAAGAACACATCAACCTAATAGCCATATCCTCATCATCGATCTCAACATCGATATTTTGCAAATCCATAATAATATAGAATAATTCATCTAAATAAGACTTGAGCGGTTTACCTTCGTCTAGACGAAGATCATGAAGTCTAGATTTGAGTAGTATACGGTTGGTCACGCTTTTTGCCATATAAAGTGACTCTAACTTTAACCACAAATCCACAGCAATCGTCTCTTTGGCAATCTCTCTCAAAACATCTTTAGAAAGACATAATTGAATTGCCGAAAGAGTCTTCAAATCGATCTCCTCCCACTTATCCAACGTAACTAGTACAGGAAAGGGATATTGCGACGCTAAGAAATGGGCTCCTGCAACGCAAAAAAGCGCTGCCACGAAAAGTGTCGCTTAAGCTGGTGACGTAAGACCCTACAACGACACTATATACTAACGTCGGTATAGTATTTAAAAAAGTGTCGCCACCTTGACGCGCTTTTTGGCATCTTATAGAGGCACTTGTAAGCGTCTCCAATTCCTTGTACTCCGCATTGTACACTACCTACCAAGGCACTTGTAAGCACCGCCATAGCTTGTAAGGTGTGTGCTTTTCTATACTTTTAGCGTCACTTTTAAGCTGAGATTATTTATGTAACGCACTTACCTATAGCCTATAAAGGCACTTTTAAGTGTCGTAAGAGGTAAACTAGCACACTATTTTACAACTTGTAAAGGCACTTTTTAACGTCGCAAGATGTACAATGGTGCAGTTCTGTAATAGCATTTATAGCACATTTAGAGCGTTGCTAACTTGTTTTTTACATAATAAAATTGCAAACACTAAAAATTTAATTAAAAATAAATTATAGTCACAAATGTCATCAAACAAGAAACATTGAAATAAAGTACCTAAAATCATTTAAACAAATAACCATCTAAATTCCTACATAAAAAAACCAAACGTTCAATAGCTAGAATGTAATTTATTCCTAAACCAAAACTATGCAAATATAAGTTATATTTTATAAGACAAAATATTGGTGCTTTAAAATTGCCTTCATGTTCCAACTTTGAAGTTGCCAAAGCATAACCTACATGAGTGAAAACAAATAGTCAACTACTATATTAAAAAGTAATATATGATGACCACAAAAAAATAAAAAATAAAAAAAGAAAGAAAGTAATTAATGATCCTTAATATTATGTGATAAACACAAGTCTATGAGCTACCAAGGTTATCCAGGGGTTCGAGTAAATAGGAAAAATTGCGAGGAATGTCCTTTTAAGGAGACGACCTTGTAAAAAAGGTCCTTTTATGAAAAAAGTGGCACCAAAGGTCCTTTTAAGGCATTTGGGTTGTAAGAAGGGTCCATTGACCAAAACTCTGACGTTGACTTCTTCAGAATTTTTTTTTTTTCTATTCTTTCCATTCCTCCATGTGAACCACCATCACCACCTCACCCCTTTCCTCCATGTGAACCACCATCACCACCTCACCCCTTTCCTCCATGTGAACCACCATCACCACCACCTCCAACACATCACCACCCACCCACCCATCACCACCGAACTGATCCCCACTCTGAAACCTCACCTGAATTAAGGAAGAAGGAAGGGGAAGGGACTGCCATGTCCAAACCCCATCCCAAATCCCCGAAACTCCACCTGAATTGGTAATGGTGCGGCTATCGAAGTGCTTGCATACCCCCGGCCCTGGCACCGGCACCTACAGACGACCCAGCCGTCGGCGACCCCACCTAACCCTTTCCTCTTCCTTCCCACCATTACTCCCGACATCAATTGAGCACTCAGCCCCCTTCAACCCACCACTAGCGACGCCTCTCAACCTACCAACAGCAGCACCCGCCCTTTACACACCACCAACACAACCCACAACCAGCCCATAATAACCCACCCTTCCGCTACCCTTGCTATCCGATCCGAAAATGATTTTGGATCGGATTTTCGACCCGAAAAAATCGGATATCGGATATCCAAATTTCGAATTTCGGATATCCGATATCCGAAAAAATTGGATATCGGATGTCCGATATCTGATCCAATATCCGAAGAAACACATACCAAACCCTAAAGTTTGAGACCCCTCACCCCAATATAAATCCCTCATACAGTAACCCCCCCCTAACCCGCCTCTTTTTCTCTGATCTCTCCTCTTCTCTATCATCTCTCTCCTCTTCTAGGACTCTAAATTTAAGTATCTCATTTCTCAAATCTGGAGCAATGGGACCCGCCGGCGAGCGATAAACCTTAGTAACGACGTCGTTCTTACACCAATGAAACGACACCGTATCATCCCCTCTTACAACAGCATTATAGCAAATGTCATAGAAAAGTGAGAAAACAGAGGAAGACGAAGAAGAAGCAGCATCGTCACTGAAATTACCGTAATACCCTCCGTCAAATCCTCCACCATAACCGAAACTCAAATCTTCATAAACATTCGAATTCAAATTCATCGACATCACATATTTCTCCCTTTCTCTCTCCACTTCTTGAATTATCCTCATCCTACTCACATACTCCAAATACTCGAACACCCTAAGGTTTGATAAATACAAAGTAATATATATCATGTATGATAAATTGATGATGTAATTTTTTTTTTTTAGAAAATTAATGATGTAATCTTTCTTAGTTGATTGTTTATGAATTTTGATGTCCTGTTCAATTTTTATTTTTTGAAGATGTTTTTCTTTCAATTAGTAAATTAATGTCAATTGGTAAAAAAAAATAATAATAAATTCGATTAGTGGATATCCGAACTAATATCCGGATATCCGAATATTTCGGATCGGATATCGGATATCAAATTTAAGAATTTTCGAATTCGGATATCCGATCCGAAATCCAATATTCGATCCGTGCTCACCCCTAGCCCTCGCCTCTTCCCTAGCACCCCTACTCCTTCAATTCCTTGCCCTTTCTGGAATTGGCCATTCGAATAGATGAAATTGGGTAGCTGATTGTTGGTTGCAATTTGTTTTGGCGGTTCGATTGGTGGCTGATAGACGGAATTTGTGGAGGTTTGAGCTTGGTGGATGCGATTGTTGTTGCGGACTTGTAGTTGCCGGAAGTTATTTGCTTTACGTAAGAGGAAAGGTGGTTGTTGACGCTGGTCTTAATTCAGGTGAGGTTTCGGAGTAGGGGTTAGTTCAGTGGTGAGGGGTGGGTGGGTGGGTGGTGATGTGTTGGAGGTGGTGGTGACGGTGGTTCACATGGAGGAAGGGGGTGAGGTGGGAGAAGAAGGATTAAAGAAAAAATAAATTGAAAAAAAAGAAAAAAAAATCTAAAGTAGTCACATGCTGTGCACGTGAGTTTATTTTGGCCGGAAAATGGGAGTCAACGCCGGAGTTTTGGTCAATGGACCCTCCTCACAACCCAAATGCCTTAAAAGGACCTTTGGTGCCACCTTTTTCATAAAAGGACCTTTCTCACAAGGTCGTCTCCTTAAAAGGACTTTCCTTGCAATTTTTCCGAGTAAATATATGCATTATGTTATACATACAATAAACAATCTAACCTTCAATTAAAGATCTTAGTAACGTAATAACTAATCTCTACGATAAGTGTCATTGTCGTTAGCCCTAGGCGAAGCTTCAACACCCTAGAAAAACAACAAAGGAGAAGAGTTACCAACTTCATGACAACAATAGAAAAGGTGTAAATGTACCTAATCAATAATAACAAATCAAACCTGGAAAATTACTACAAACATATTTCAACAAAAATACTCAAAGATGAAAGAGACATTCCCAACATTAAACAAATTATTATTAATAGTTGTTACATTACTAACATTATCGTCAATGTAATATGCAAAAGTGTAAGTTTAGAATTTCACAAACGACAATGTTCAACCAGTTTCACTTAAAAGTAATGAAAAAAAAACATTTGTCACCAAATTAGTATGATCCTTAAGTGTTCCATGTTCACACAATATATTTCTTTTTATGATTCTGGTAAGTAATCATACAAAGAAATAAAAAATAAGCAAATTATGTACCTATGAGACAGAACCATTTTCTACTTATTTACAACTACTCTACCAGGCTAAGTGCCAGCCAAACAAATACTTTACGGTTGTATAGACATGAAAAAAAAAAAACAAGGTGCCCATTAATATTTGTAATAAATTATTGAATGACTCAGTCCATTTACTAGTGCTCTTTACATGAAATAAAAGCACTAACAAGGACAACTTTGTCAATTTGCACCCTGGCCACAATTCTTCCTCAGCATCTTTAAGCAAATCATAGAAGCTTTGAGCTTCTTTGTTAGGACCTGGTATACTTTCATCCATGTTCTCACCAATATTTGGCCCATCGCCTCTATGATCATATATGTCATGTACCAACTGACTCATATCCATACGCGTAACAGTCTCATCATTTTCTACCATAAATTCTGTAGAAGCTGAAGTGAAAACTTGATCTAAACTTTCTCCATGAAACAACCAAGTTGAATAATTACGCATTATTCCATAATGGAGCAAGTGGTAATTTACATCATCAGGTTTCAAAAGCTTGTTATTAACACACCTCACACAAGGGAATCTAAGTCTACCATCAAGTATTCATAACGTACTCATAAAGCCATCAACCCCTTCTGTATTCTGGTGCTTTTATTGGAAAAGCTAAGTTTTCCTTGATTGTTCTCAATGCAACTCCATTATCAAAAACACGGAAAACGAAAAGTTTACGACTAATTTATTAGGGGAAAAGGAAAAAGGCAACCACGATAAAACATATAGTAGATATAATTTTCAGATAATCTAATAACTTTAAAGTAGCTTAAATGAAGTAAATCAAGAAGATATCTTAGCCTAATGTAGACTTCTTTCTTTGGTTTGGTTACGTTCTTTGGGGTGGAGGGAGTCTTATACACTACCCTTTTTTTTCTTTTTTTTTTAATTCGTTGGAGAAAGAAGTGTTCAACCTTCAATAGGTGGGACAACATATAGAGAGCAACCAAAAAAGAAATTTAATAGGAAAAAAAAAATGAAAGCATCTTTCAGGTCTTACATTTAATATATAAGACCATACTACATCTCATATTTTGAGGTGTAGTAGTGCACAGCCACCCAACTAGCTATATTATAGTAACATCAAATATTATTATTAATTATGCCTTCATAACAATTCATTCACACAAACATAATTTCTGCCAAACAGGAAATAAAATAAAATAAACAATGGAGAAACCAAATAAAACTTTCTGCAAAAAATCCACTGATAAATAAGAACTTCTAGAATTCATGTAGTCCCACGTTTATATGTTACTCTCAAAAATAACACAATATATCTTCAAACAAAACTAGAGTATAAAATTCTCTCCTTTAGATTATAGAAAGCTCAAATTAAAAGATGATATCATGAAGAAAAAACTTTAATTATCCTTTCCCTTTCACAACAGCAAGTCAATGGCCAGAATTAGAGCAGCAGCTTTTTACTTACATATATATCATGTCAAGAATTCGTGCCCCACATGAACTCTAGCCTTCTCTAAAGCTATATATCAAAACCCATTTACTTCCTATTCTTCTAGGCTCTTCCCTAATCAACAATCTATTCCATGTAATCTTTTTTCTTACCCTATTATTCTTTGCATCTAATTTTGTTGGATTATCTCCAATAACAGATCTTGTATATAGGCAATAGGGTTACCAACCAATTTTATAGAACCACTGACACATAATTAAAATTGGCTAGAGGATACATATCACAAACTCCAGTAATCCAACCGTAAAAAAATGCCCACCGACTCTATAGTCAAGTAAACTCTACTTCTTTTTTGGAGGGGGGGGGGGGGAATTGAAGTACATTGTAGTTACTAATGAATTAAACATGCAGTGAGCCTATAAATTGCAAAGTAAAGGACTCTATAAAACAATATGTCTCATGTTTGAGGTGGATGAAAACTAACTAATATACTATGATAGAAAACAGTATTTCTAATGGCTTATAGGTTTCAAACAACCAAGTTTATTTTCATTGACATGATGTTTTGAGAATCTAATACTGGTTTAATCCATATTTGATTGAGATATATCATTGGACCTTATTAATTTACTTATACAGAATTATGAAACATGAGTAAGCAGGGGATGTACTAAAGATTGAATTGAACACTCAAATACATAATTACAAAATAGATAGCCAAATAAATTAAACACTGCACATGATAAGCAACATAAAACATTAAACACATCTAAATAAACTCAGGATGAAAAATTGCTAAGAAAATATGCATTATATAGACGAAATTACATCTAAATAAACATGCAATAAACAGACCTGAAATTAGCCTCTTTTCTGAATCTCTTTCTTTTTGACAAGAATTTTTTCGAGAATAATGAAATTAGACCTGCAATTATAGACGAAATTGAGGGGAAAAACTAAGCTTAATTCAGCAAAACAGAATTGAGGCGAAATAAACATATAAAAATTAGAAATTGACAAAACCCGGCCAAAAATTCAGCAAATCGTAAAGCGAAACCGAGAATTTAGGTGAAATTAAAAGGGGGAATTCAATAAAAACGAAAAATAATGTGAAAACTTTACCTTAGAATGGGAAATTCGAATTTGTATGGGTCGATTGAAATTCTCAAATAGAATTGACGAATTGAGCAAATTAAAAGGGAAAATTCAGCAAAAAGGAAACGGATTCAATGTTAAGGATTCTTCAAGTAAAAATTTGAGAATGATATTCAGAGAGATTAGAGAGATTGAGCGCACAATTGTGGCAATTTCATATTTTCAGTTGCGATAGGTTAGGGGTTTGCAGAAGTACAGTGGGAGTCGTGGGAGTTTTGAAATATTTCACAGAATAAAATATTTAAGTGGCTCGGTCTTTTTAGCTGTAACTACGCTATATTGCAGTGCTTTTTAATAAGCCTCCAATATTACACGGAAAGTCCATATTTCAGCACTATTAACATGTTGTGCGGCTACCAATGCGCGTTAATAGATTGTATTTGTATTAGCCCGAAGGCTTTTTGGATACACCTTCAAAGTCTTGTGACAACCACTTTGAACTAAGATGGCTTTTATCTTTAATTATCATAGGTCATAATTCACTTGCCTATCGAATTTCTCAATGTCGAATTTTATTGGTATAATTTAATCAAACTAATCTATAAACACTAAAAACTAAGACCTTAAATCTGACTCTAGATACCAATTTGTTAGGAAATAAGGGTGTAATTGTGTTTGATTAATGCAGAACAAGTGGTTCAGTCAAATTAGCCCTACAACCACGGGTGGGGGTTTCGAGAGTTTCTTCACTAGAATGGAGAAAGAACGAGATAATAATACAAGGAGTCCTAAATCTAATGGCTCAAAGGGTATGATCTAATTGATCAATTAAAGGTCCTTTTATAACACAAGAAAACCCTAATAAAACCCTAAATTGTTTCCCAAGTATACTCAAATAGCCGTTATAAAAAATATATAATTTTAGAAAATATCTCATAAATTATCCTAGAAGAACTGAACTACCGAGCTATAACTCGGCAGCTAGCTCAAGCCTGCCACAAGTCTTCATTGGGCCGAGCTATAATTCACTCGCATAGAGCTATAGCTCGCATGCTCGTCGCAATTTTTCAACTTTGTCAGGTTTTCGTAAAACGACCATAACTTTCTCGTTTCTTATCGAAATTGGGCATATGACCTAACGTTGGAAAGCTCTTGAAACAAACTATCACCTCCAACTTGAATCACTTCAAAATTAGTTTGAGAGATCTCTTCATTCAAAATCAGCCCTACTAGATTTTGAGTCACACTTTAACATGGTTCATGTCCAAAAAATGGATAAAGATAAAAAAAATAAAAGCTAGGTGTAATACATTTATAACTCCAACGTGCTGCTTGCGTTGATTCCTTTTGGAAGGAAACATGACAGAAATGTACAAATTGCGGCCGTGTAGTAGATTTCATTGAGTCGTATGGCCACCATTTTTACAAAATTTGGCCGTTTTAGGATAACAACGTATCAATTAAGTACATGCATGATGCATGCATGTGCCCCGTCATTACTAAACATCACGCCACTAAAGTCTAATCTGTCAAAGATTTTACATGTTTATGGGTGGTGGAGCCAGAAATTATAATTCGGGATAAATTTTTTAGGGTTTTTATATATAGTAACCCTATTAATTTCACTTTTCTACGTTGTGTCCTAACTTATATCATTTTCTACACTGTAATCCTAATATACATTTTGTTTTCATACGGTAACCTTGCCGTTATCCCGTCGTTAAAAATTTTCGTTAATAGGGCCCACTCTCCATTTATTAATATTTTTTGTCGATTTGCGCGTTGGAAAACCTTCCGTTAAAGGTTTTGGGGGCTATTTTAGTCATTAAGGGTCTAAATTGAGCTTAGATTTCACAAAAAAAAGTAACGTAAATGCCTCTTGTTGCTTATTAAAAAATGCTCACAAAGTTTTCATACAATTCTTTACAAATATTAATGCTCACAGTTTTATAATTTGTATACCACTACACGTATAGAACTATATAGATTATGATTCTTTCCTCAAAAATAAAAAATATAGATTATGATTCTTATGCCATATGATTAATAATAATAAGAATACATTACATGTTTATAAGATGAATTATGACTAACATTTATCTTTGATTCATATGAAAATTATCGATCAATATCAATATCTAAATATTCATGCATTAAATGTTATCGGTATATTTAATTGTATGACTATATGTGTAATAGTTCATGCTTAAAAGATACCGAGAGTAGAATAAAAAATTTGTAATTGGAGGTAAATAAATTGGTTAGTGCGACATAAAACATATACTATTATTAATTAAAAATTATACCTACTTGAACAACTAGTTGTATGAAAAACATAATTTAGATTTTATACTCATTAGATCGCTATTGTGGTTACGGTGAACACTACAAGAAAAATACCTTTTCATAGCAATTATTTTAACATTTCATATCGATTGTAATTGCTACAAAAAAAAAATCCTAACGAATGGTTATTCGATACAATATTCGATACATTTCATATCGTCCTTATTAATCGATACGGAAAACAACATTCAATCATGGTGATTATTGTAACGATTATAATCGCTACAAATGTGGAACTCATTTTCTACAATAAAAAAAAATCCCAACATATGATCTATACAAGATTCGAACATGCAACCTCAAGCTTTAATATTAAATGTTTATCTAAGAAGCTACGACATATTTTATGTTCTCTTTGTCAAACAAAATTTTAAAATCTAGTGTAAAAAAGGCTTTCGTATCGATTTTTGGATTTTAGTGGCGATTGTAAACGATACACTTTTCCATAATTTTATAAATGTGCATAAAAATGGTGAATAATATTATTATGTTTTTTCGTATTGATTTTATATGGGTTTACTATGTCGATTGTAAAATGATACGGATTCCACTACTATTTCTCAAACATATGTGCATATTGTAGCGAATGTAAAATCGCTACGAAAAGACAATTTTCTTGTAGTGGAAATGTTTGAGTATACTACAGTTATATAAAATGTTATTTTTATATATCTATTGAAACTATAAGGTTTTTTTTTTAATTTTTTTTTTTATTTCAAAATTGAAAATTTATTTATAAATGATTTGTAAACAGTGCATGGCACAGACACTAGTTTATGACAAATTGTTGCTCCACTTTCCCTCTTTATATCATTGCCCACATGTATAATGTTTATGAATGTCGATTTGAACTCTCTCTCTCTCTCTCTCTCTCTCTCTCTTCTTTGGGATAATTTGGATTCGAGGCTCAATTCTTGGTGGTTAGGTTCCAGTCCCCTCACAATTGTTGTTGCGAGGGATCGAACGTAGTCCTCCCTATCAAGTGCAGTCTTAATCACCCTGCACCAACAACCAATTGGTCGTCGATTTGAATAGTTGAAATGTTGTTTCAACTGATAAGATTTGGATTAAATAATGCCTATAATATAGTAGTTGTTATGCGGTAATAACAGTGTCAAATTGGGGAAGTCTTAATACATACCTGGTATGTATGAGCATCATACATGTTGATTATTTTATGTGAAAATTATAAATTTCAATTCAAAAGTTTATTTTATGTATCATTAAATCGCTAAAAACATATATAATACATCAGTACCATTGAAATTTACATTAAGATTCTACAAATAGAGTTTTATAGACTTGATTAATATCAATGATACTAATGCGGTATCTAATAGTACCATTAAGACTCCAATGGTCTATATATATTTCTATTGGTACACAAAGTAAGCCATTGAAATTTAAAATTTCACAATAAATGACCAAAACACCCTATGCTATATGATGCTCATACAACACGGATATGTATCCAGAATCCCCAAATTGTCAATGGTAATAAAGCTAGTCATTTTGTCATTTCTTAATTTTAAATGAAGGAAAAAGCTATACGCAGCCCTTAGGGCTGCATATAAGAAGCTAAAAGTGGAATGAAAAGACATTAAATTAGTGAAACGCTAAACATCGCCCGCAATTTACCATATAAAGCCCACAAATATGATTTGGTGTGACCATTATGCCCATTTTCTAAAATTGAAATAATCTCGGTTTAAAAAATGTGGAGCCGTACTGGCTCGCCGGGGGAGACCGGAGGGCAGGCCGGAGATGCGGGGGACGCCGGAGGTACGTCGTCGTCGACGGAAAACGAGGTAAGTCACCGTTAAAATTCACGGTTTACCGTCGGAGTGGCTCCGGCGCCTAGGACTAAATTACATTTATTACACCGATTTACTCGTGAATTGTCGATAAATTTTTAACTCGTGAATTGTCGATAAATTTCTAACTTAATACTAAAAAAAGAAATATATTGAATGCTTATATGCTTATATTAAGGGCTGCATATATGTTAGAGATATGAGATATCGAAAATATATGTGTACAATATTGCATTACCCTTAGCTGAAATTGTTTCAATTTTTACACTTTCAAAGCGCATCTTTAATTGATTATTAATATCTTTAGTTAATAAGTAAATAATTTAATATTTGGATAACATTCTCTATTTTATTTTATGTTCTACGGAATACTAAGTTACTTAGTGTACAATCTAAGAAAATACTTAAGAAATTAAAGTGAATGGGTGTAAGATAAGTAAAATAATGTAATAGAGAGTGTATAGAAATATGAGTGGATTTAAAAAAGAAAAAATTGGTAAAAAGAATCACAAATTTCGTTGATTTGCTCAAAATAATTCCAATTATTTTTAAATAATCCGCACTTTGGGGGTTATTCGCTATAAATGTCCCAATGCAAGTGACTGATAACCTGTGAAAGAGGTAATTTTTTTTGTTTTATATTTATGTGACACATGTCACCACGTTATTGGTTGAAAATTTTAAAAAAATAATTAAAAAAAAAACAGTCGTAAACCCTCACCACCAACCCCGATTTCTGCAGCCACCGCCCACTCACTTCCCAGGCCCGCCGCTCCCACACCCCCCTCCCCGCGTCGGCGCTTTCCCCTCCCCCTAACCCCTGAACCACCAAAACTCTCACCACAAAAACCTCCTCACCTACACCCGAAATCTTTTAAAAAAAACCTAGCCCCACCGCGTGTGGGGAAGGGCCGATTGGGGGTTTGTGCAGTGGGGTTGGTTTTTATTTAAGGGTTTCGGGATGGAGGTATGGTGGTTTTGGACTTATGGGGTCGGAGTTAGGTGATTTAGGGGATAGGGGAGGGGAGCACCGACGTCGGCGTGCCGGAGGGAAGATCTAGCTGCGGCGGTTAAGCGATCTGGCCGCAAGAAAAAGGTCGGTGGGTGGTGGTGGGAAGGGTGGTTGTGGGTAGGGGTGTTCAAAAAAACCTGACCCAGTTGCCACGTCCAGATTACCCGATGACCCGCAAAAAACCCGATGGGAACTTGACAAATTTTCTGTTTTTTTC